CACGCGCGCACACACACACACACACACACACACACACACAGAGAGAGAGAGAGAGAGAGATGGGAGCGGGCGGGGGGCTGGCAGACCGACAGACAGAGACCTTCATAGAGTTATCAATACAACATGGTACTCGTGGAGGTGTATCTTTGGTCTTCGGGACGAACGTCCTCTTGTTTGTGTTCGTGGAGGTGTGTCCTCCAAGGCTGCTTGGGGACAAGGTCTTGTAAGTTGTTCGGGGCCTGTCGAGGTCGACCTTGGTATATAATATTCTTGTGAAGATTGCACGTTCATTTGACGCGAAGTATTTTTATCGCGGCCGTGACCTACACTTTGCTGTCACACAGCTGCGTGTCGCTACGTACCTGTGTTAGAGAAGCCTCCGACGTATGTTCACCTGTAATGCTAAGGGGTTTTGGGGGGAGGGGATGGAGACAGGGCACCCGCCCGTGTGGGCTAGGCTTTCTTTCATTTTTAAATTCGAGAAAGCTTAGGGTCTGGGGGATAATTATCCTGTTTTTGATACTCAATAGGTGCATTTTGCTTAGAAAACTGAAATGTGTACGTTGTGAAAAAAAAAAAAGAGAAAAACCTCCCAAGATTTGAACCTTATAAAAGCACGGTTTGAGCACATGTTGTCATGAACAAACTGCTATATATAATGTATATTACAAGCCTTTAGTAAAGCTTCAGCTGGGGAATAACTCAATTGTTATGAATTTGGCCAACAGTGCCTTTTGTATTGAGACCGTATAAGTGAGGCATCCTGGTGAAATCAGGCGCTCGTCAAAATAATGAAATCAAAGAAACTGGGGTTTGTGGGTGCTCTGGTGTGGTTTACTTCTTCTTTCCTATCATACATCTATCGTCCTTATCTCCCCTTCTTTGTTATGTTTGTTACTCTCTTTTAACACCTCTAATCTTCTGGCGATCATATGACCTTATGCTGTTGCGAGCGCCGTAAAACCTCTACTAAAACTTAAAAAACTGGCATTTTTTTTCCTTTGGGCAACATTGTTCAGAGTTTCTTGTTTTGGCTCAATGCCTTTTATGTCTATTTAAAGTCACATTGCTGCATGTATTTTTACCGAAAAACTTTGATCAAAGGCACAAAAAATATACACTTCACTTTTTAAGGACTCTGAAGCTTTAGAAGTCAC